GCGGCAATGGATTTGGCAAAACCATTTTATGGATGGTGGAGACAATTCTGAGACAGTGGCGGGTGGGCGGTGTAGGCAGACATGAGGAGTGTTTAGCGCTTTCGACTGACCTCCCTTCCAGATGTTTTATGTGTGTTTCCCTGTCAAAAGAGGGAATGGGATAAATTGAATGGTTTGGTGCACACAAGCACCTGCATGTGCACAAAGTCCTGTTCGTTTCCTCTCCTGCACTAATAAAGATGCAAAGAAAAGCTCTTTTCTATTCGAGTTTCTACATTTCGCATTACACACAAGCGAGGCTGGCAAGCCTTTGATAGTAAAGCAAGATTAGGATTCATTCTTCATACCCCTTTCACCCCAATGACTCCAGCTCAGGAGAGCAGGAGTGCTTCTCTTTTTCTATGCTCGCTTCGCTAGTTTGTCAAGCAAGCCAAACTTGTCAACATCGTCACGTTCCTCTGTCCTGGTACATTGGCGTTGGAGCATTTTTCCTTCTGTCGAACGGGGAAAAAGCAAATCATGAGAATGCCTAGCGACCGGTGCACACAAGTTCACATGCGCAAACACACGAGCCTACAATCCCCCCCCCCTCACACGAGCATGCATCTCATATACCCGACTTTTGTAGGCCTAGCTGACAACTTGCATTAACAAGGCACCGACTATGGCGACGGCAGAACCACATAAGGTGGACATTTAGCTCGTTGACTTGGAGACATCTTCACTCGGTGGAGCTCGAATCGAGATGAAAAGATTCGGGCACCGTTTCACATCAGGGTGGCCGTGGTCACTGGTATTTATGTGTGTACCTGGATACGTGTTTTCGTGTTCAGCCGACAAGGTAGCAGTCCAAGTGCTCCTTTACAGGAAGTCATTTAAAGATTCAGCAAGCAAGCCTGCAGGCTGGTTGCGAAGAGAGGAATGGCCACAGTGACGAGCAGAAAATGGCTTCCGTTCTGCTGTCTCTCATGCCATGATGCCGAGGCTTGTCTTGATGCGATAGTAAGAAAGAAGGTAAAATGTTGAATTCGGATGTCTCTGAAGATTGCGAATTCATGCAGACAGATTATCAGACGGGTCGCTATGTCATTGATGTAGGAGCCTATTCATCAATAGAAGTTGTTTGATCTCGAATCCACAACTTGGTCGTATTGTCCGAATGACCGAGATGAACGCTCCATGTCCGAAGTCCTGTGTCATAGTAGTCATGGTAATTGCCAGCATCGCACCGTTGACTGGAAATTATCATGACTTCTATGGAGGAGGATTTTAAATAAGGGACCTTCATCTCGGTCATCCTGGCAACACGATCGAGTTGAGAAAATGTGGTCAAACCACTTCACCATAGCGACAGGAGACGGTGATCAAAATAAAATCTATACCATTTGAATGGTTTAAATGATAAAAATTAGCAAGTACCGGGTGCCTATTTTGGGAAATCTTCTAAAGTCGTAAAATGAGGTCGTCAACTTTGCGTGCACTTAAAATGAGAGTTAATGGGCTATGAGCCAGCCTACTAAATGCAGGTAGAGAGGATCTCAACATTTTCTAAAATGCCGTCAAGCAAAGGGACATCTTATGCGCCTCCAGGATTTTCATGATCTTCACCTTCTAGAGGATCCAAAGCTTAGGATAGGTGTGTTGTATGATAGTAAAACTGCAAGGTTAAA